GAGGCTGCGGGGGTCCCCCAGGCCCCAAACTGTCACCAGCGAGGCTGTGGCTGTGCCATAGTCGCTGTCACCCCATCCGTGCCCTGCCCCCCCATCAGTGCTCTTCCTCGTGCGCCCCGCGCCCCGCCCCCTTCATCCCCATCCTAGCTGCACCGCCTCAGGCCCCAAACTGACCAACCGCTGCCGAGCCCTCCTCAGCAAGGCCGGCCATTAAGGTTCTGACACAGGCCAGGCTTCAGCCTGCGCCTTCCCTGCAGAGGCCGCGCCTCAGATGACCTTTCGACCTCTCGAGGCTCACGGGTTCCTCCGTTTGTGGGGTGGCGCACGTGCCACCCTTCGAAGGCCTCAAAACTGCCACCAGCAGTGCTGTGGGGATGTCATCGTCCCCGTCACCTCACCCATTTGTCCCCCCCGTCCCCCACCCCCACTCCTTGCCGCCGCCCCAGGCCCGAGGTGAGACCCAGGCCCGAGGTGAGGCCGAGGCCCGAGGTGAGGCCCAGGCCCTTCTCAGCAAGGTCAGCCATTACTTTCTGTCAGCGAGGCCAGGCTACCATCCCTGCCTTGTTCCCACAGGTGTCACACCTCAGAGGACCTTTTGACCCTCACAAGTTCCCCTTGGTAGAAATATGTTCAAAAGCCACTCACTTCGCATTGCCTTCTCCAGACCTCTGCCGCGGGCACTGCTCTGGCGGATCCCCTGGGGCTCGGCCCTGCTGGGAACAGGAACCGCTAGGCCTCCGGCAGCTCCAGTGTCAGATGTGTCCCAAGTACTGTCAGCACCAAGCCTGATCGGAACTTCGGGCTCTTTGGAACCCGGTTCTTCTGAGGTTGAAACATCCGTTGAGGGGGCTTCAGGAATATCAGGGGGTCCCGCCTCGGCGAGAACCCCCTCAGGCGGAGGAGCTCCCTCAACGGGTGCTTCCTCAATGCGCTCCATGACCCACACTAACTGAGAGTCTGTTGGGGGGCTAAAATGGCGTCGAGTTTTGTCACGTGGTATTAGAGGGTTCCAGAATGCTCAAAAATTATGCAAAATCATTCCCCCTTAAAGACACAGTGACACTAATAAGACGTTTTGTTGCCTAACAAAGATTTTATAAACTCTCTACGACTTAAACACTAACCAATACTTAATTTTAAAGGGTGCTCTTTTTTTTTTACAGACTCATACAATCATTTCTTCTAGATATATACTTGGGTTTTCTGTTCAATGAAGCTACTTTATCAGATCTTTAAAAGTTCAAAAGAAAGTTTAGGCACGTTTTGGAATCCACCAATATACTTTATGGTGGCTGCTAGAACTCTGAAAACCTAATTTGCAACCTACTTCTAAAATACTGAACCTGAGGCTGGAGAGATGGCTTACCAATTAAGAGCAAAGATTGGTTTTGCAAAGGACATTTCAACGCCCACATCAGGCTGTGCACAACTGTCTCTACTCAAACTCCGTGGTGGAATCTGATACCTCTGGCCTCTAGGGCAGCGGCATTCATGTGCACACAGACACATAATAACACACAATTAGACTTAAAGTTAAAGTACTGGCCTTATTGTAGCACATCAACCTTTCCTTCTTCCTTCTTCCTTTTTTTTTTTTTTGGTTTTTCGAGACAGGGTCTCTCTGTGTAGCCCTGGCTGTCCTGGAATTCACTCTGTAGACCAGGCTGGCCTCGAACTCAGAAATCCACCTGCCTCTGCCTCCCAAGTGCTGGGATTAAAGTCGTGCGCCACCAATGCCCGGCTCCTTCTTCCTATTTTTATGTACACTAAATTACCGAAAACGGCTCAAAACTTTAAAAACTTAGCTATAAATGTTAGATAAATAGTGCTCTAGCAAAAAATGTCTGATGAAATAGATTTTGGATAGAAGAAGGGATGGATTGTGGCAGCAGCTTCTTTAGAAGTTCAATACTCCAAAAAGTGCTAAGTGAGAATTTATTTTGGTAGCATAGTAACTGTCCATGTTGTAATGGGCTGCATTCTAACAGTTTGAATTCTCTACATGGATCATATTGTCCCTCTCTGGTACCCTTGTCATCAGTCTCACCTCTCCTGGTTTCCCCCCTTTACTTTTTTTTTTCAGAGCAGAATGGAAATTTTATTGACTTTTTAAAAAAATAAATTGTAGGCTAGTGTATTGACATTTCCATAAGTGTGTCACTATGCACTGTTTCTATTTGCTGACTTCTGCTCTGACTTCCCCCATACCCTACATTGGTTGCCTTCTTTTGTCCATATAGTCCCTCCCTCTATAAATTCATATATTCCATTACTCTTTGTTCTCCTCTCTAAGATCTCTTCTTCCCCTCCTATGATCCCCTTTCCACTTTAATGACTCCCAACGCATATCTAAACACAAAATACATGTATACAATGTTAATGGTTTTGACATTTATTTTATGTGTATATGAGTGTTTTGCTTGCATGCGTGTACACCACGTGTATATCTGGCGCCTACCAGATTCCCTGGAGCTCAAGTTCCAGACAGTTGTTAGTCACCATGTGAGGTCTGGAAACTAAACCAAGATCCTCTGCAAGTGCTCTTAACTGCTGAGCCATCTTTCCAGCCCTTGTATATACAAATTTAAATCTGCATATAAGAGAAAATGTGAAATTTGTCTGAGTATGGATGATTTAACTTAATGATCTCCAGTGACATTCGTTTTCCTGTAAATGTGACTTCATTTTGTTATCCCATGATCTCATTTTTATTAAAATATATTTCATTTTATAATGACTGAATAAAATTTCATTTCATGTGTATGTACCACATTTTTAATCCACTTATCTCTTGATGGGCATCTAGGCTGATTCCATTTCCTAGCTGTTTTGAATAATGCAACAATAACCATGGATGTGCAAGGATCTCTATGATCTGTTGCTGACTTAATCTTTCAGGTATAGCTCCAAGAGGACTATAGTCAAATGATATGGCACTTCAGGTTTTAGTTTTTTGAGATACATTGTTACTGATTTCCGAAGTGACCACACTAGTTTATCTGCCTAGCTGCAGTGAACCAAAGTGTTTCTCTGCTACATTTGTTTCCTTGATGGCAGTAATTGGAATGAGGTGACATGGAATCTTGAAGCAGTCTTAATTTGTGTTTTCCTGATGGTTAAGGATGTTGAATACTTTATCAAATATTGATTGACTATTTGTATTTCTTTTTTTGAGAATTACCTATTCAGTGCATTGGTCCTTACTGATTGGATGATTTCATTTTTTTGGTATTTAAATTTTTGCAGTTCCTTATATATCCTAGATACAGGTGGGTAGTTTTTTTTCTTAATTTTACGTTTATGTAATGATTAGGTGGCATGTGTACCATGGTGCTCATATGGTCAGAGGATACCTGATGAGAACTGGTGGTCTTGCTCCATTGTGTGGGTTCTGGGATCAAATTCAGGTCATTGGACTTGGCAGCAAGTGCTTATACCTGCTGAGCCATCTTACGAACTCTATCCTGGATATTTTAAAATAACTCCTTTCTTATTTTTGCAGTGCTGGGGACTAAACCAGAGCCTTGCACATTCCAGGGAAGTGCCACTGAGCTACTACCCCAGCCCTCCTCCTTTTCCTTCCATATCCTCCTTCTCCCCCAAATGCCATATGTGCAAATAAACACATAAACACAAGATACTTGCCTATCAGTCTAAGTTATCATAGACAACATGATGTCTCCATTTCCATACATCTTGTTTTAATGTGAAAGAGGTCATTTGTTCTTTTTAAAAAATGAACAAAAAGAATGAATAAAATTCTATATTGTATTATCATTCTTTTTGCATCTATCTGTTTATGAACTGATTCTAACACTTGGATATTATGAATAGCAGTAAACATGAACACACAGGTAAATCCATACTAAAGTGACCTGAATTTAGGGGGTGTTTACCCCAAACTATATAGCTGGCTCATATGATAGTTATATTTTGAATTTTTGATGAGTCTACATATTAAACTCTGTTGTAGGCGGTACTAATTTACATGTCCACCAACAGTATATAAGGGACTGGGTTCATTTTCCACTACATCCTTTCCAACATTTGCTGTTTCTTTGTGTGTGTATGTATATTCTCATTTTTGAGCCATCATTTCACTAACTATATAGCTCACATGGATTTCAGACTTGCTGTGAAGCCCAGGCTGGCTTTGAATTCAGTCCTTCTACCTCTGCTCAGCAGAGCTGAGTCTTCTTGTTTGTTTTTTCGAGACAGATTTTCTCTGTGTAACCCTGACTGTCCTGAAACTGTCTCTGTAGAGCAGGCTGGCCTCGAACTCAGAGACAGACAGATCCACCAGACTCTGTTTCCTGGGCGCTAGCATTAAAGATGTGCGTCACCACTGCCTGGCTTGAAGCTGAGTTTTTATTCTGTACTTTCTTGTTATTGCAGTGCAGGGGAATTGAACCTAGGTCGTCATACATGCAACTGCTTGTCCAAGCTGCTTTTTACTTTCTACTTTGAGACATGGTCTCATCAAGTTGCTATACTGATACTGAAATCACTCTGTACTTTGGGAAAGCTTTGAACTTAGATCTTATTGACAGCCTCCTGAATAGGCCAGTTCTTTTGTTGATAGACACTCTCACTGAGATGAAACAGTATCTCAATGTGCTTTAGATTTGTATTTCCCTGGCAATTAAAGTTGATGTGCTGTTTTCATGTATTTATTGGCCAGCCATTTGTATGTGTTCATTTTTAAAGTGTCTCTTTAGTTCATTTGCCATTTATTGGTTTGTGTTTTTGTTGTTGTTGCTGTTCTTTTAGTATTTAATGTCTTGAGTTTCTTACATATTCTGGATAATGGCTGACAGACTTTTCTCCCATTTTAAAGCTATCACTTCACACTACTAATTGTTTTGAGATGGTTTTTATTTTTTATTTTATTTATTTATTTATTTGTTTATTTATTTATTTATTTATTTATTATTTTTTGGTTTTTCGAGGCAGGGTTTCTCTGTGTAGTCCTGGCTGTCCTGGAACTCACTCTGTAGACCAGGCTGGCCTGGAACTCAGAAATCCGCCTGCCTCTGCCTCCCAAGTGCTGGGATTAAAGGCGTGCGCCACCACCGCCTGGCCGAGATGGTTTTTATTTTTATGTTAGTCATTTGTCAACTCTTAACATTATTTCCTTAGCTATTTGAGTCCTTTTCAGAAAGTCCTTACCTGTGTCTATATTCGTTTCCTCAGTTCAGACTTTCAGGATTATGTGTGTGTGCATACATGCGTACCTGGTGCCAGCGTAGGTCAAAAGACTATACAGGATCCCTTCAAACTGGAGTTAGAGATGTTCGTGAGCCACCATCTGAGTACTGGGATTTGAACCTGGGCCCACTAGAAGAGCGGTCAGTGCTCTTAACCACTGACCTATCTCGCCAGCTCCCAATCTGCATCTTTTAATTTTAACTAGAGAGTTAAGACATTTTTTATTGATTTAATTAAATGTTATGAACTAATCCTCCTTTATCCTAGTGATTTATTTGGTTCACTGAGTTAATAAAGTTTGATTCTTTTTACTTCTCATTTGTTTGCTCTTCTAGTGAGATGTATTCTTTCTCAGGTGCTTGCGTGTCTGTGTGCATTTCCCCCAGTCTCTGTGGTGTTTCTTCAAGTTAACTCTGCAGTGCTAGGTTAGCCTTACTGCAACACTTTACTTTGTACTTACCATGGAAAGTCTTGGCCGGGCAGTGGTGGCGTACATCTTTAATCCCAGCACTTGGGAGGCAGAGGCAGGTGGATTTCTGAGTTCCAGGCCAGCCTGGTCTACAGAGTGAGTTTCAGGACAGCCAGGGCTACATAGAGAAACTCTGTCTTGAAAAACAAAAACAAAAAACAAATTAAAAAAAAAGGGAAAGTCTCTATTTCTCAATCCATTTTAAAGGGTCGATTTCCTGGTTAGAATATGATCAATTGACATTTATTTTCTGTCAGAGA